TATGTTAAAGCTGTAATGAAATGCTTCTGAAAAGTTTTTTTAAATGTTTTATTATTTTTATTTTATGTGTATGAGTGTATTGCCTAAGTGTGTGTAAGTGCACCCATGTCATGCAATGCTGGTGTTGGTCAGAAGAAGGCATCAGATTCCCCTGGAACTGGAGTTACAGACAGCTGTTAGCCATCATGTGGGTGCTGAGACTTGAACCCGGGTCCTCTCCAAGAGCAGTCAGTGCTCTTAATCATTGAGTCCTCTCTCCAGTCCAGGAACCAGCCATTTGAGAGATTCTCAGGAATTGGGAACCTTCTGGCAAAAGAATTAAGTTTGGAGTGAGTCATACTGTGGAACAGCTAGACCATGATAGACTTCCACAGGCATCTGTGGTCAAGCTGAGTTTTCTCCATGAAACAACTTTCTAGGTACTCTGTGTCCCCAGACTGTGGAGCTGTCTGGCAGTTCTGCTAATCATTCACCATGCTTGGCTTCCTTCTCCACTACTGTAGGCAGTGCTGGTTTGGGATGGTTAATTCCTATCTTCAAAGTCCTGAGATCAGGATGCTCATGTGTTAATGAGCAACATGTATCCTTTGATGTCTGGCTGAAGTGGGGGTCTGATCACCCGAGATGGGAGTTTCAGTGGGGCTACTTACCCTGCATGCATGCCAATTTCAACTTCCTGTTACTATTGAGTCAATGTTGCTCATCTCCTTCTTCCTCTGACCACTGATGCCCAGTGTACTGCTGCCAGGCACAGCTGGGGAAAGAGTGCAGGTCAGGGGTAAGTGCTGATGTTCCCAACTCATGTGGACTGCAGTCCTGAAGGACTGGAAGCAACATTAAGGGATGGGCGGGTAGCCCAGCTGATAGAGTGTTTGCCTAGCAGCAACTGCATAAACGCAGCATGGTGGACATGTGCACAATTCACGCACATAGGAAGTAAAGGCAGGAGGATCAATTCAAGGTCATCCTTTGTTATACAGGGAGTTTGAGGCCAGCCTAGGCTACCTAAAACCCTGCCTAGAGAAAGGGGAGAAGGGGAATGGTAGTGGGGAAGAGAAGGTGGGGCAAAGAGGAAGAAGGAGAAAGGAATAGGAGGAAGAGAAAGGAGGAGGAGGAAGATGAGGAGGAGGGGGAGTACTTAAGAGTGGCCAAAGAGTTCTTGGCTTGGCCCTAATGATATTCAGAAAAATAATGGCTCCTGTCTTCTTCCAGAGCAAATCTAAGAACCAAGGAACCGCTCTGGGATTCTCCTCTCCTTGATTAACTTCAGAAATGTCACTGTAGATTTTCTCTTTGAATGGCCTCCCTCTGAGCCTTCAGAACTCTACAGTATTTTCATAATTCATCAAAAGAGAGAAATACTAACCCTGCTTAATCGCATCCATACAGTCTTATTTTCATTTTAGGGAAAACTGAGATTAAGACCAATATACTTTTTTTTATTTTTAAGATTAGTGTTTGACATTGAACAAACCAAAAGAGAATTAGAAGTAGAGTCCAAACTGAGACTTTGTCAATTTATTTCCCACTTGCTCATGTCCTTAAAGGGTGCATCTCTGGATCCCTGGTGGTGATGCCCACAACCAGGTTGGGGGTCACAGGTGGCTCTAGTTATTATTTATTTATTTATTTATGAAGGGCAAATAAGCAAAGTTTATTGAGAGGAGTTATGTGAGAGGGAGTAAAAATTGAGTTTCCCTACAGATGATTTTTAATGTTCTTTTGGATTTATAGTTTACCTGATTTTCCTACAATGACCATACACTAAATATAAAGATCTAAAATTTCAATTCAAGTAAGCAAAGTAGATCCATTTAGAAGGCAGAATTCTTTTCTCAGCAGCCAGAAACAATCTGAATTGTTGCCATCTTTATGGGCAGAGAGAGATTATTATTTTTTTTGGCTAAGTCAACTTGAGAAAGAGCAGGCCACAAAGTCCCCGTCTTAGAATGGCTTGACTTAGGACTTTCTTTCAACTTTACAATGCCATCAAAGCAATACTTGTACTTATTCTGTAGGAATCCTATTTCATATTTTAAATTCAAATCTTTCTCCAGGCTAACTACCTGCAGTATTATTCTCAGATGCTGGGCAGAGTGACAGCCCCCAGTCAGCCTGAATAACAGCCAGTGGGCATAGATGGGGAAACTGTGGAGTACAGGAAATGGAAGGGCAAACAGCGACATCCTACAGTGCACTTTGTTGTTTTGATGTTTCATGTATGTATGCATATGCATATTCATGTAGGTGTACATATATGTGCACGTGCACATATGTGCATATGCATGTGAAGGCCAAAGGTAAACCTCAGGTTGTTCCTCAGGCACCGTTCTAGTTTGTTTTTCCATTGCTGTGACAAAAACAACTTGGGGAGGAAAGAGTTTATTTGGCTTATGTCTCCTGGGTCACACACAGTTCATCAGGGAGCCCAAGGTAGGAACTCAGGGCAGGAACCTGGAGGCAAGAGCTGGAGCACAGGCCATAGAGGAACACCACTTACTGGCTTGCTCCTCTGGTCCTCACTCAGCCTGCTTTCTTATACAATACAGGACCACCTGCCCAGGGCTGGCACCACCCACAGTGGGCTGAGCCCTCCCACATCACTTAATAATCAAGAAGATGCCCCCACAGACATGGCCACAGGCCAATCCAATGGAAGCAATTCCCTAATTGACGCTCCTTCAACCAAGTGTGTCAAGTTGACACTAAAGCTATCTAGCACAGGCACCATCCACCTTGTTTTTTGAAATTGGCTCTCTTATTGACTGAAGCTCACCAAGTAGGGTAGCCTGGTTGGCCAGTGAGCCTCAGGGATCTGCTTGTCTCCCCAGTACTGTGGTTACATTCATATACCATCATGCCTGGCTTTTTCACATGGGTTCTGAGGATAGAACTCAGGTCCTCATGCTTGTATGGCAAGCATCTTGCCCAACTGAGCTAGGGTATGACGTTAAAGTTATAATGTTTATTAGGCTGTAACTCCATTGTAAATTAAGGAAATTCCATATTTGGATAAGGGTGGGGGTGATGTGTTGTGACTTAGGAATAAGTATAAACTTCCCTTCACCCCACCTGTACACTATTGAATACAGGTGTGGTAGCTTCTGTTCTGCATTTCTTGGTAATGTGAAGACAAATGACTATACGGAAGTCAGTTTGGTTCATATCTATGATGAATTTCCTTCTCTCTCAGGACACCTAATATCTCCAGAAAACTCCTATTCCATGTACCCTCTGCAACAAATCCAGAACTATGTGTATACCGGCCATGCCATCTGGTTTCTGAACCTTGTTTTCCACAGTCTCCAATGTCCTTCCTCCCCCCATTGATGCTTACTGGCTGTTACCCAATATCTAGGACTCTGTACTCCTAGGGGCAATAGACACTAGTCAGAGAGAAATGAAGCTGATGGACTATTTCACATTAAAATATAAATGTCAATAGCACTTCACTGAGGTCACCCCCCTCAATGGCATCTACATTTTAGGAACTATATATGAATTTCTCATGTTATGGATGGCTCACAGAAGAAGAATGGGTATGGGTAATATGAGAGGTGGATGTCTTATTAAGAAGCAGACTTTACACATTTGTGGGAACTGGTGATGAAGTCTAGGAAGGTGGTTGCTTCTCTGCTGTGTGGTGGACCTGAAGTCATTTCAGACCAATAGGGCAGCAGTAAGGAAGAAGTGTATTACATGCAGTGAAGGGAAAGGATAAACTGAAATGTACCGAGACAAACTGGAGCCAGTCTCTACCTCTCACCGTGTGGTGAAACTGGCAGCAACTCACCATGTTCATCCTCCTCACCCTTGATGGCTGCCCAGCATCAGGCAGGCTGCAGGAGAATTTGGGAGAGCTACAGGTCTACCTGCTGATCACAGCTGTCAGGTCTGTAACAAAAGGCGTGAGTGACAGTGGTGCTTGGCCCCATACTCTTTCCAAGTGTGCTTGGGTTGCTGCTCTACTTATGCCTTCAGACTCTCGTGAGAATTTCACTTGCAGTCAGCCTTAACTTGGAGCCATGTAGGGAAGGGAATTCTGGGAAACACAGCTCAAGCTTGGTTTTGCTGGCACATTTAACACAATCACCACAGCCCCTAAAATCAACTTTAAAATGCAACTTTGCAGGTTCATCTATAAGCCATAAAGTTGAAGGGTAGGAGTTCTGTTCAGGGGAGGCAGAGGTAGGTGTAAGAGAGGAGGTAAAGGGAGCTTTCTTGGGTGGGGTCTTCAAGATGTGTCTAGTACAGAAGCCTATGAAAACCAGGTAGATGCTGTGTATTATATGGTAACACATATAAATGTTTATATATCTGTGTACGGAAGGAAGACATTCAACTTTACAACTGGACTGAAGTTATGTCTGAGAATAGCTAGCCGATACTCAGGAGTTTATGAGTGTCCAGGCTATCTGTAGATACCATCGCAACTCAACCCCTTACTTCCTTCCCATTCTTTCCTCCGCACACCAGACAGGATGGGAGGAAGGAAACTGTAGGAGACCTGGACAGGCTTGACTAGAAGTTCCTCAAGGGCTGTGGACAGGAGCCCCTGAAAGCCCACTTGGTTCCCAATGTGCCAGAGTGGATTGGAACAATGAGACCATATTCCACCAAATGTGTAGGCTTGTTTCAAGAAATGTTTCCTCTCTGCGGGGGTGCGGTAGGTGAAGTGAGCTGATAAAACTAAGTAGTGAACAATTCTTTCCAAAGCCTAGAACTTAAAGTGGCTCTGCCTGAGTTTTGTACTTCTCTGCTTCCTTAGTCCAGTTCAATGGGAGACTTTATTGGTCATGTATATCCAGGTTTGTTTCTGGTCTTATATGGACTGTATCAGGCAACAGTGGTCTCCAGAGCTTTGATATTCAACGACTCTCTCCTGCATCCTTCATGCCTTCCTAAGAATAAGGGAAGATGGGCCAGGCTGTGGAAAATAGCCCATGGAGGCTGGTGCAAAGTAGTGACTGGCTCCTTCTTGATAGTTTATGAGATCAGCTGCATGGAAGGAGAGTTGAAATTGATGGACAAGGTAATGCCACCAAGGTTTATGTACCCCAAAGAGTGGCAGCACCTCACCATGTTCACCCTCCTCACCCTTGATGGCTGTGTAGATGTTCTGAGCAAGAATGTTCTGCCGCAGAGGTGTGTGGCTCTAGAAAGAGGTGCCATGGTCCTGGGCTTCTACGAGCTCCTGCTGCTACTGGTATCACATGTTAAGGACTCATCTGGGGTGGAGCTGCATGTTCACTCTCTACTCATCCTGGTGGTGTTCCTGCTGACGCTGGTCTTGACTGCAGAGCTGTGGGCTCCCGAGATGTTTCACCTCTGGATAATGGAGACCTTCCTGCTTCTGATGATGGGTTCCTGGCTGATACAAGCAGGCTTTATTCTATTTAGACCAGTCTCTGGCTACCCATGGGATGATGATGACATCAGTGACATCATGTTTGTCACCACCTTCTTCTGCTGGCATATGATTATCAATGCCTTATGCCTATTGGGAATCTATGCCTTGTCTTCTTTTTGGCATCATTGTTACAGTCCCAGCTGGAAGCTGATGGGGTTCAAAGAAGCTCAGTATCATGAGAGCACCTCAGGACCCCTGTATAGGTTGCTGTGGGAAGCAGAGCAGCTGGACAAGGATGATCAGACTGTCCTCCTTTCAAAGAGCGCTCCCTGTGTCAGGGCCTAGAAAACATGGTATATATACACTCCATCTTCCTGTGAGTTCTCCTAGACCCTTGTGTTGCATCCTTTGCTTCTCAATGAAGGTTAACGGCCCTGGAGTTGGTTCCCATCTGCCTTCCCTGTCTCTAAGCCTCCAGTTGCTGCTGAGTAGAAAAGGCCTATAAAAGGGATGGTGATAGGATCTGGGGAGAAGGAGGGACAAGGACCAGGAAAGTAGATTTGTGGGTAAACAAAGCCAGGAGTAAGAGAACACAACAGAAAGACGTTGAAAGAGTCTCTGCTAGAGTTCAGAAGAATCCAGCAGTTGGGCTGTCAGAGCTGCTTCTCTAGGCACCAGTGATTGCCTTCACCTGAGAATAAAGATTTCTCACAACTCAAAACTTGAATTGGTCATCTTTTCCTGATAAGGTAGACATTTGTATGTGCTCACCCAAGTAGTGCATACTAGAATTTATCATCAGGTTATACACGCTGAAATTATGTTCTCTTGGGCTGGGGATATAGTTAAGTTGGTAGAGTGCCTGCCTAGCATGGACAAAGTCCTGGATTTGATCACCAGTACCACATAAACCAGATGTGGTGGGGGCATGCCTGTAATCCCAGCCCTCTGAGGTAGAGATAGGAGGATCAGAAATTCAAGGTCATTTTTAGCTACATAGTGAGTAGACCCATCTGGGCAGCTAGGTGTGGTAGTGCACATCTTTAATCCCAGCACTCAGGAGGCAGAAGCAGGCAGATCTCTGTGAGTGAGACCAGTTTAGTCTACATAGCAAGTTCTAGGTCAGCTGGGGAGTGGGGGTGGGGAACCCTGGATTAAAAACAAACAAAAAACAGCCTTGGGTATGAGACTCTGCATGTATATATGGCCTTTATGTTTCCTTCTCCTGAACCCCCAACCTTCAAGGATTGGTTTCATTTCAAAATTTACTTTTTAAAAACTTTTATTTATTATTTTTATTTTATGTGTATGAATGATTACCTGCATGTGTCATGCAATGCCTCGGAGGTCAGAAGAGGGCATCAGATTCCTGTGGAACTAGAGTTAAGGATGGTTCATAGCTACCATGTGGGTGCTGGGAATCAAACCCAGTCCTCTGCAAGAACAGTCAGTGCTCCTAATCACTGAGCCATCTCTCCAGTCCCTCAAAATTTACTCTGAAAATGACTAAAAATAGTTTAATACACTGGGTATGGGGTGGGGGTGGCACATGCCTTTAATCCCTCTGGAGGCAGAGGTAGTTGGATACTTTATGTTTGAGGCCATATACTATATATATATATACCTGCAGCCCCAACTGGCCTGGAACTCACTATGTAAACCAGGAAGGCCTTGAACTCAGAGATCTGCCTGCCTCTGCCTCCCAAGTGCTGGGACTACAGGTGTGCACCACCACACTTGGCATAATTTATATTTTAATAAGAGATTGGAATGATGGCTTGAAGGTTAAGAGTGGGTACTGCCTACACTTGCAAAGGACCTGAGTTTGGTTCTCAGCTCTCTTATCAGGTAGCTCACAACAGCCTGGAACTCCAGGTTCATCCAAGGGATCGGACACTCTCTTCTGGACTCCCAAAGCACCTGAACTCACATGCATGTACCCATCCATGTGCACATACACACACACTTATACAATTTTAAAATATTTTAACAATACATTTGCATAATCCCAGTCTTCATGAATGTAAGTGCGTGGTACTTCCCCAGCTTCATGTTTTACTACTCCTCTAGCCAGTGTCTTATTAGACACTATTCTTGGGTTTGGCAAATTTTCTCCCTTACGTCTCACAGAATATCATCCCATAATCATACTTTGCTATTAGATACCCCAAATAATCCCCTCTGAGCCACAAAGACAGTAAGCATTTACCAGGTGGCTTTCTCTGAGAACTCTAATAAATTCCTTTGTTCTAGTACTTGGGCACTTAGGGCAAACCTGCCTTATTTTTCCTGAACAGCTGATACACTTGGCTTTGTTCTGTTTTTGAAATCATTTCCCTTGGAGTATTTTTCCTTACCAACTAATGTATAGATTTCTAAAGGATAGGGACTTAGCCATATCCAAGTCACACAGTTCCCCATGTGTGTCCCAACTATGTGACACAGCTCCTGTTTACTAAAGGGTCATTTGGTTCCAGAGCCTCCCCGTTCGTTCCTTCTAAATGTGTTGCCCAACAGGTATGAGGTTTGGTGAACCACTGGACACCACCAAGCATCCTAAAGCCTGAGGTCATCTTCCTGGTAATCGGCCTACTCTCTTCCTTGTTCTTGGGGAGACTAAAACCCTGAAACCTGTTGCCAAATTGTTGACTCTTTGTTGTTAGTTTTATTTTAGTACCGAGGACCAAACTTGGGACCTTGCACACACTAGGCAAGTACTCTCCCACTGACTCATTCCCCAGCCCTTACTATTTTTCATTATCATAAGTGCTTCAACTAGAAACTCTCAGAAAACTGAGTCTATGAATAGGCTGACTTGCTGGAGGCAAGAGGCAAGCCAGGAATTTAAGCTTGGGTGTGTCAAATTCAAGCCTGTGACAGTGTCCTCCAGAGGACAGTGACTTCACTAATGGCAATGGAGAAGGAAGTGATCCCCAGAGTTAAATAAGGAAGGGAAGAAGGGAGGGATGGAGGAAGGGAGGGGGCAAGGGAGGACAGGTAGGGTCAATCAGAGTTCCCGGCAGAGGAAGCAGCACAGGGCAAACACCCCAGACACTCTTAAAAGATGTGTTTATTCTATACTTTCTGCACAACCCTAACTCCCTCTGAGAATAAGAATCTAGCCCAATCTCAGCTTTGGGCTTGGTTTTCAGTTTCCGGGTTCAGAGCTGAGTGAGGGCTGAGGATAAGTCTTGTTTTGATCGAGGCTTTGAATTATTTTCCTCTTTATTCTTGGTTCCTAGACTATTCTTGGTTATATTCTGAGAGCCTTTTCACTTCACCTTTCTTTGCATATTGATCAGAAGTAACGAACAAACACACTGTTAGCCACCCATTTCCAGGTATTTGAAGACTAATTTTATGATAAAACTCAGTAACCAGGCAGTAGTCCAGACATAATATCTCTAAAACATCCAGGGAAGGCAAAATACTTCTATATTATTAATTTATCATTTATAAAATGTAACAGAATGCAAGTCAGGGAAAAACTTCCCAAACACCCAAGCCTTGTGAGGGAGAAGTTTGAAATTCTCACAAAATGCCACTAGAGGGCACTATGTCTCCATTACCCCATCTAAATATTTCGTTCTCCAATCCCAGAAAGCAAGTCTTCCAAGAAACAGTTTAAAAGAAATAGGGAAGAAAAGAGGGTAGAAAAAGTTAAGAATCAGACTAAATGTTGCCCAGACATCCAAAATACATATCATAGGGCTTTGTGTTTCTTGTTAAAACTTGACAAACATAAAATAAACAGGGATCCAAATTAACTAATGGGTCAGAGTGAGGGATAAAAGACTGTGAGTAGGTTCTATTGACAATTCCTTTGGGAAAAGTGTCAACTAAAAGACACATTCTGATCCAAATAATTATCTCATCACAAGGCTAAGTTTTTAAGTGTCGATAAGAGTCTAAATGATCTAGGAATCAGTATGTATGTACATTGATTACGAATGAGATTTATGGGCCTGTGAGCTGGCTATGAGTAAAAACATGTGTATAAACCTGGCAACTTGAGTTTAATTCCCAGAACCTATGTTAGAAGGAGAAAACAGACTTCAGAAAATTGTCCTCTGACTTCCACACACGAATCACACATGTGTGCCTACACACACATATGCATACACACACTCATTATACACATAATAAAAAAATTTTAAAAAATCAAAGAGCAAAATTTATGTATGAAACTCTGAGTTTAAAAACAATGAAATTTAAAAAATTAAAGACTGATTATTATATGTGAAAACTCACCCAAGAATCAAATCACTCTTTTTTTTCTTTTTTTTTTGAAAATCCCCCTGAGGAGTAAACCCATGGCCTTGATCAGGCTAAGCACTGTACTATAGTCACAGGCCCTCCAAAGATACTTTCAAAGAGAATCATTTTTCTTTGTTCTCTTAAGACCAAACCCAGGGCTTCAAGCAAGTTAGTCAAGAGTTCTATCACTGAGCTACAGTTCCAGTCACATTTATTTTCTAATAATTTAGTTATTAAAAAAGAATTGGGCATGGTGGCACATGCCTTTAATCCCAGCACTTGGGAGGCAGAGGCAGGTGGATCTCTGTGAGTTCAAGGCCAGCCTGGACTACATAGTGAGTTGCAGGCCAGCTAGGGCTACAGGAAGACCCTGTCTCAGAAAGAGAGAAAAAAAAAAAGAAAAAAAGAAAGAAAAGCAAACATACATTGAATATCCACTATGCAGAAGTCACGTGGGTATGACACACTATAGAATTCTGGTGTGAACTGGTTGGCTGGCCCCAGCATTCTGTACTTTCCTCAGCAGATGCAGCAAGAAATTCAGCATCTGCTGAACACAATGACCCAGGATTTCACCATCCCAAAGCTGAGGAGACTGAAGGAAGTGGGACAGAAAAGGGTTCTCAGAGGTATGGACCCTTGAAAACACATTAGGCTGCCCAAATGCAACTTTAGCAAGTTATAAGTTGTATGTTATCTTCATTTTGAAAAGATGGGCTAGGGGCTAGTTTAGTGACAGAGCACTTGCCTAGGACGCACAAGGTCCTGGATTCAACTCCAGCACTGAAAAAAAGAATAAAAGGACATGAGGGTTCAATCCTAAAACTGTGTGGATGGCTTTAATGCTCTCAATAGGAGTGACTTTCCCATGTTATGAGGTAAGAGGAACTTGATTCTTCCCAATACTTCATATAGCAGAGTCAAGATTTGGAGAAGAGTTCACATAAACACAAACCATTTACCCTAATGTGCAGTTTGAAAAATTGGGTGTTCTATCTCTGTGAATTTCTTCAATCAACATTTAACAAAACTCAAATCAGGCAAAAGAAACAGAGCTGGAATTCAAACTTCAAATTTCCTGTCTTGAA